TTTCACGTTAGTCATAATCTGGTTTTTAACAATTTCGCTTGTACACATTAAAATCGTAACATGTTGTAACATCATTCATCGATTATGGCGTTTTTGAGCTACCAAAATTAAAATTGAAAATTTCTCATCAGACGATTTTTTTAACTTTGTGTATTAAAAAATATGTGTACCTATGTTATAATGTTACAATTTATTCATAATAATTTCCTCAAACATTATTTTATAGATATTAGATACTATTGAATTATTTAACAAACACACACACACACACACTTCAAAGAAATATAAAATTTTAAATGGTATAATCAGTGTTACATAATTACCATTGGTTTTATTATGATACAATTAACTGGTATAGAAATTTATTAACTTGTCACGATAAATTCCACATTTTCGTACTGTTTCTATTTTTTGGCGTATTCTTTCGAAAAGCGATAAATGTTTACAATTAAGAAATCATCATATTTATAGTAAATTAGTTTTCAATTTGTATCACTTGTTTTTAGCGAGGGATTTTTTTCAAATACCGATTTCAATTTAACACTCGAGCTCAAACAGTAAAATAAATTGTGTCATGAAAATAAGAAAACTTAAACCGTAAGACATTTTACGTAGGAGGGTTTAACAAGCTGTACAATATTTCGTATATATCCCATGAGAGTACACATAAAAGACATGATATGTTCACAATTTCAAATGTGTTCACAGGTAGTGTTTTTGATTAAATAACATGTTACTAATAAATGAATTCCTTTAACGCCACTAATGCTATACAACAAAATATGTGAAAAAAAATTAACTTATAAAAAATTTATTTTGTACAAATTGTTTTTTCTATTGAAAAAAAAAAGTGTTTTTGTAAACTTTGACTAACTGAACATTTTATTCGAAACAATTGAGAATTCCAATTTTCTTTTTATTATTTTTTGTTCCGGGCAAAATTTGTACTGAAACATATTTTATTGACCTTTATACCAATTGACTGTAAAAAGTATAAACTCGTAAAATTGTTCACTAAATAAAAGTTATTATTTTATTTTCAAGATAACTGAATAGTCTGAAACTAGTGGCTTTACAAACTCCACTAAAAGTGATTTTACTCGAATGCCACTTGAAATTAACAAAATAGTAAAGATAGTACAACCCAAAAATAGAAAGAAATCTTACAGCTTAGAATATTTGTCTGTAGGGAACAAGGGATGAGTATAAAATAGAAAAATAAAAGAACTTCTACCGATTGAGTGCGTACCGATACTACGTCAAAGTGAACAATATTTAGCTGACATGAAAGTAAAAGAATATTTATGCTATTTTATTTTGATAATAGTTTATTTTAAAGACTTAGCGTATTGAAAAGAGAAATCTCGAAAAAGCTTTTGACCAATCATAACTCAGACTCAAAAAACAAAACAAACGCATAGTAAAAATAATAAAAATATATTAAAAAAAAAAAATACAACACGCACTATTTGTTGTAATATTTTTATCTCTAAAAAACTTGAATGTTAGAAATTTATTTGATTTAACTTGACGGAATATACAGTCGTTTTTGTTATTATTTATTCATTGTTTTAAAAAGCGAGAATGACATATTTAACATAAAGTAATTTATAATAGATACTAAAATATTAAATCTAAAGATGATTTTCTCTTTGCATTTTTTAAAAGTACAAGTAAGTAATTGAAACAGCTTTGACCAAACATCTCTTGAATTATATACTACCTTTTATATTCCATGTAATTGCACAGCAAATATCATATGAATATTTAATAATCTTAAAAGTACACCGAAACTTTAATTTATTAATTTTTTATTTACAGATAAAAAACTACATCATGCCTATTTGTTAACCTTTGTAAATGCCTTATTTTTATGAGAAACGACGGTGACACCAAATTAAAGATAATATTAATAAAATACTCAAAGCTTTTGATGTAATTTTTAAAAAATAATTTAAATTAAATTACATTTTAAATTTTGTATGCTTTAATTTTTGTTTAGCAACGCAAAGGAAATTCCTTTTTGAGATAGCTCAAACGAATGGCTGACTTGAAAGCGTTCACCGTTTTTTTCCAGTCGAAAGAATTTCAGATGGTAAATAATTTTCTAATTTCACTGGAACATCGCATACTGCAAAATGTTGGGAGTTAAGCTTTGTGTACAATAAACCAAAATTAATATACTTTCGGGTTCGGTTCATTGTGCATGCAATGTTTTACATATATTATTCACTTATAATTACTGTACGTCGAATATTATGTAAACTCGAGTATAATTTATTATGGACTCGGTAATTTCACCTTGTCGCCCCGAGATAAACATAACCATTACTTTGCAGTTTGAATCTACGGATTATCGGGATGAAAAGAGATTCAATAAAAAAAGAGAGAGATATAAAAATAAATGTTTTTGTAGAAGGGATTTTCGCATCAGTACAAACGATAGCTGATAAAGCGATCAAACACCATATGTCAGTATTAACGGACAAAACCAATTTTCTATTTGGCACACCAAGTCTCATTTCAGTCAAAAAGAAAAGTGATATTACATGGAAAAACAAACAAATCAAACAAACGCCCCACTAACACACTTACAGTACTTTGTAGTGATAATAAAATGATGAATATCATATTATGTTGAAAATTATTAGCGTTGAAATTCAATGTAAGAGACAGCGCATACTCTTCTCTGTTATTTATTATTTGCAAAAATCTATTAAGTACTCGTCACGCAAATTCCTATTGTTTCAATTAAACACAATTGACACGGCGTTAGTTGTCATATTCATTTTTTTATTTTTAATACTTATTTTTTTCCTATTCAATAGTATAAATATATAATCAATTGCTTCGTCGCCAATAATAATTAATTGCTATTAATATGTTAAATTGGAAATGCTGTGACCATTTTGTCAACTCGATGACGTCTTGTGAAAAATATTTTCAATATAAATTCAATCGATTTCATAAAATTATTATTTATTTTTTGCATTGTGTCAAGGAGACAAAACAGCGGAAAATCACCTTACACACGTGAGATCATTATGATGACGATGACATTTTAAAAGACATAATCGTTAAACGAAATTCGAGGTTATCTCTAAAATACTATAACGTCGTAGTTACAGCTAAAATACTGATGCTATATTTGTTGCTAAACATGAGTTTTTTTTCTTATAGACAAAACACTATGTTAGTTTTTATAGTATGGCTTAAATTTATGCATATCATTTTTTGTATCGCCAGGAGATAATCTTTAACTACTATTTTCTGTAATCTAATTAATTATAATACCCTACTTGTTTCAGAGATTTACTCTCAAGTTTAAATGCACACTCAGGCTATGAATTCCAAACTGGATAGCCGGTAATAGGAAAAATCTGCTACTTTTAATTTACAACATAGTTTGCCCAGGGCAGCTACCATGTAGAAACTATAACGTTTGTCTTGTGTACATAATTCAATGATATCCCTTTTTACAGCGAACATAATACTGTATATAAAGTCACGAGTAGCATGTTTTGGCTCGTAAAAGTTGTGCAGATCTCTGTGGGGGTGTTGGATATAACATTTTAATTTTAATAAGAAATCAGACAGCTTTATCGCGCTTTGATAGCAGTCATAATAAGGATGATAAACTAATTGAATTAAGAAACTTTCTACGTTTTAATTTCTATAATAGCCATGCTGCAATTTCCTCGGGCCAAACAACATAGCTTACAACCCAATTGTTTTTGTTTGTATTACATCCCCCGTTTGAATATATTATTTAATTTAAAGTTAATTTATCATTTGAAAAAGGGATAATTACAGTAAAACAATTATCCGTCAATATAAAAAGTAATCCAATATGGGAGTAATTATTTTGCTGGCTATGAAGTTTGAGTTGCAATTAAATAAAATTGTTTTTTGGCAAATATCAAGCTAATGTAATCGTAATTAATTCAAGTATTATTTTTCTAAATTTCACACTAAAATATTAACATACGAAAAAATGCAAAAAAGTAATGATATCTATTAATTTATATAAAGTAAAGTGTATATTAAACAAAAACAATTCCACGGATGAAATTGGAAAGCTCAAACAAAGCAAATAATGCAGTTTTTATTATTTTTGAATCATGACTATATGTAGTCAATTAATAATCTGCTAAAATTTAAAAAAAAAAAGTTCTAATCTACACAGGTGCCTTCGTTTTGCATCATTATCACTTAGTAAAAAATGTAAATACACTTTTTTCATTTATTATGAATAAATAAAAGATATTCTAATAAAAATACATAAAAATATTTGCTGTGCAATATTTAGTCAAATGCAGTTGTTTGTAAAAAAAATACACGTCATGTGCTAGTACAATTATTCATTTATTTTGTTAAAAATCCTTCGAATAATTTTGTTCTGTAGGTCAATAAAAATCAAATGTGTTTTAATAGTTCAATAATCAGTTAGAGACATTCTTACGGTAATTTTTTTGGTTATTCGTTATCTAAATCAATATTATTTTTTTTACTATTATCGTTACATCCTAATAAAGAGATTATGTACATTATTATGTGTCTTTACGCTTTAGCCAATGAAAACATTGTATGGTTTGCTTACAAAACAAACGATTTTCCATACCACGGAAAGTTTTGCTAACCATTGGAGTATAAATAATGTCTTCTTGAAACTACATGTAAAATACATAATAAATTTCAAGGCAATGTGATATATAGTATCGAAACGGTTTGAACTTTGTCATTGATAGTTTATCCAAGAATAATTAATAATTAAACTATTATTTCTAAATCATAACTATTCTATAACTAAATTGATTGACCCAGAGATATGGTAAACCTCAAATGACAAAATGTGAATTATTGAAATACATATTTTATACACATACTGTGATTTTATAGTCTAAGATTACTGAGTATATGAGATGAGGTAGTTAAAAATTCATATAAGTAAAGTAGTTAACAGTATTGCGTGTTAAAATATTACACAGTTAAACTCTTACCTTTGGCCTTAGTTTGGAAAGTCTATATGCCGCGTCTTCGTCCACACTACACGTACTACATCCGGATATCTTGCGCTCAGGCGTATGAAGTGAGTAATCTGCATCCAAAACACTTATGACACTTCCAGCAGCACTCCAAGTGCTAGCTGCACTACAGTCCGACGAAGAGTCATTGAATCCACAGTCTGACTTAGGTTCGTACTCGTCCAGGTCGTCTAAAGTGAACATCGATGAAAACGAGACCGGATCTTCCGAGTGATCGCTAACCACCACAGAGGGAGTCCTGAACTGTCTCGCACCAGGAACATCCGTTTCACCCGCGTTGCTGCTGTAAGATCTAAAGAGAGCTGCATGCTTAAACTCTTGATGATGCAACTCGTAGCCTTGATCAAGGCTGTGACCTTTTCTACATGGACCATTGCTAGCACCACCCTGACATCCTAGCGGACCAGTCCATGATTTGCGCCGTTTCCGTTTCGTTTTGGTTTTGCTCACTTCCAATAAGCTTTTCACCACTGCTTTGTTCATTGCTCGTGCTTTAGCTTTTTCTTCCATGTATGCCATTTTGTTTTTCTCTTCATCACTACCTACAACCGAATAATATAACTATACAGTTTAAACTCAGCAAGATTATTTTTCATAAAAAATATTATTAACTCTTAAAATTCAGTTTTTTTATTCTTGTCATATGAACAAAACAAATTTTATTAATTATAATAACTCACATTTTATAATTTGTTATGAACAAACTTATTTACACTACATTTAGTATGAGTCTGTTAAGCACTACAAAATTCCATACATTTTGTCATTGAATAGATTTTATATTTAATGCGTTCAAAATGAAGTGATTAAATATGTATAAGCCTAAGAGAGTAAGTTACTTAATGAATTCAGATTAAAATTAGTGGATTAAATGAGTTTTAAGATGAAATATTTAGTTATTAATTGAAATAATTAAGTAATTAGTTACAATTTTTTTTATATTTTATTGTGACCCTTTAAGAACAGAAATATATGTATTAAATACAAATGAACTCTAGTTAATTTAAATAAACGATTTACTTCAATAAAAAAAATGTTTATAAGTAGTTGTATACTGTATGATATAAAGTACTTTTAATGGTGGTTAAACATGGTGCAGTTAAATATTTTACAGATCTCATCACTTAATTTTTGTAAGCAAATATTTTGTGTATCTTTATACTACTCGTATACATTTTATTAGTGTTGTATATTGATACGACAATAAAATAATAGATTTTAACTGTCCAAGTTTAATCGTCGCTTCAATTTGACTGCAACAAAAATGTAATTTCTTTAGGTTTCGACAGATTTTAATTTAAAATTTTTAGTAGAAAGAAGCATTTATATTTTTGCTGCAACATTTCAAAAGGAAAAATTAATTTAGAACATTATTTAAAGTATAGCTCATATTTCACTTATAACACTTACCCGAATTATGTTATATTATAAATATAGATGATAAAAAACTTGCAAATTACTTCCTTTAAAATGTTTAAAAAAGAAAAAAAAGGATAATTGTGTTTAAATTTTTAGTAGTCATACATTGTTATTTATGTATAATTAAAAGTTAACATAGAAGATTTTGTTTCTTGGCAGGATGTAACTACTAGAAAATTAAATATGCTGGCCTAGGTCATACAAAAGGAGATTATGGTGTTGAAAAATCGATGTTGAATTTTTGCTACATAAAATATAACCTAGTAAATTATTTTTGTCGGTAAAATACTATTTTACGATTCGTATCGAATAAAACAGAAAACTATATAAGAATATATATATATTTTTTATAGCTTACTATTCATCTTTTGCTCTCGTGCAGTATAAATAAAAACGATCATAGTAAATTACACATAAAGAATGAAGGTATACTGTTATGGTCTATACAAAGACACTCTTTATGGATACAATGCGTATCGGTTAGCATAAAGTTTCATATAATGATGCAGTTATTTAAAATGATAAAAATAGGAACAATACGTTGTATTGTAAAGTTACACAGCTTTCAATGTCATATATGTAGCTTTTTTGAGTAAAGCTATACGATAAAATATGCGTTAACATTAAAGAACTTTTGATTCATTGCATCTATTTTTCATTTTTTTTTTTTAATAAAAATAATTTAAATTTTCAAAACATTTATTGATAAGCCAATAAATTAAACAAATAAACACATTAAATAGAATAGAGCATTATAATATTTTTTAATAAATTAAATACTAGTTATTCTTTTTGCGATATTAGTATTTATTAATTTATGATGTAGTCAAGTAAAATAAATATATTATACAATATAGTATATGATTCTAGTTTCCTGTAAAAGATACATTAAAAATTGAATATCAGAAATGTAATAAAATGTTGTTGTAATAAAATTAATGATAATTAAATATTTAGGTTACATGTTTTTATTAAAAACAGGAAATAATTTATAACTAAGCGAATATAAATATATTAATATATTAAAATATAATATTATATTTTATGAAATAAATGGTTATAAAGTACTTATTTAAAGATTCAATCATTTTTAAAGTGATTAAAACTAAATAGCACGACGAGACAAAAACCAATATAATAAGATTATGTAAATAATACATTTTTATTAAATAAGTTTTTATCAAAAGCAGCTGAAAATTAATTTTTTATATCTTGTATTGTATATAAAAATACTATTTAATAAATTTTGAAATTCTAATCATTTATTTTAAAAACTACTTATAATATTAATACGGTTGTTACATGTGTTTTCAAAGTATGAATATTTGTATTTACAAATATTTTTGATAAAAAATTAAACCAAGTTATTCATCATTGAAAAATCGAATTTTTTTGTGTTAGAGTTTCAAGCCTAGTAAAAGTATTTTACTCATTTAGTTCAAATTGTTTCAACGAGAGCAAATCTAATGAAATTTTCTATTATAAGAATAATTTTCAGTGAGTAAATACATTTATGATAAAAAAAAGTCATGTGACATGATACATAAAAATAATGAAGCTCAATATTTTTGTTTAAAGAAATATGCTATAAATTTAGTCAGTGCAATGTCAGTATAGTTCGTTAACTTTATGATTGGTACTTTTATGGAGCACAATAACACGGTTTTTGAGCGTCCCGTAGAGACTTATAAAAAGTAATTCTGTAAGATGTGAGGTATTCATCATAACACTCCTGCCCATATATTTTTACCCTACTTCAAAGAAGAAAAAAAAGAATCACTTGTTCTAAACGTATTATCCCGTTTTATCTGCCAACTGAGATTGTTTTAATACAAAAAAAAAAAAACAAATCTTTCTTTCTCTCTAAAAAAAAAAAAATATATTATTTTTTATTTGAGATTATCATAGTAATTTTCTCAGAAAAACGTCAATATCTAACATTAATTTTACTTCATATTATATATTTCAAGTTTTAATATTCCAAGAAAATAATAACTAGTTTTTTTAGAAGGGGTCTTAAACTGATTGGAATTAACAAATCATTATACTTTTAATAATAATATATCTAAGTGAAAGGTTCTACACCAATTCATAGTGTTATTAATTAAAATATTATTTATTAAATTTCATGGTCCGCCACAGTAGTTATCATAACTACTACATGAAACTTTTTGATGCATTTCTAATCATGATGGCTAGAGAACATTTCAAATTATACTTCACATTATAAATACAACATTTAAATCAGATGATAATATGGCACATTACAACAGTTATTTTTTGCGTGAAAATAAAAAACCTTTACAAATCATAAACGTCAAAATAAAATTCTTATTATCAGGTTGGTGGGTATTTTTTTACTCAAATTATACATCTGTTACAATGCGCATTATGTTTTTGCCAGTATCTATATGATTAATACTCATTTTATTGTATCTTCTTTTGTTTGTTAAAAACTGTATGGTTTTTATCGTGGGCATTATAAAAGGTGTGTTTTATTCTAACAGTTAAAAATCTAAAAAAATACTGTTGTATCAGAAGTTATAGAAAAAACTTAAAAATTAAAAAAATTATCTAACAAAAATCAATATGTAAATAATAATACCTGTCAGCAATAGTAATGCTTTGTGAACATTTCTACTTGTATTATGTCAGTTATATTTTATTTCTCAAATTTTCGACAAATATTTTTATTGCACCATGTGGATAAAGTCTTATTTATTCTATTTGCGAACCACGATAAATAAATTTACAATCAAGAAACGCTTAAAGTTCAAAAATAGAAAAGTTTTGTCGTAAATCACGTCGGTAAAATTTGAACGTGTGAAGTTTATCAGCAAAACTTATATCCTCTGAGATTTAAAAAAATTCAAAATAGAAATAAATGAAGGAACAGACGTAGTAGAAAAAATGAAATACGACCACAAAGCTGAGCAACAGCTGTTCTCAAATAAATACAAACATAATATATAATATACATGGTTGAATATATAATTGGGTTTCAAACTAACTCCGATTTATAAAACTCTAAGTGCAAGTTCGCATTACCAATTATATTTTATTACGTTGTTTAGACGAGGTTGGGCGTAACGTAAACTTTTGTCAGTCCTGTATTTTAATCAATCATAAACAAAATACTTTTCTTTGTAAAGCAAGACGGCAAACGGCCACAATAACCATATAAAACTTTATGATTAAAAAACATTTTTCTATTACTGAAAACTCATGAACCACGAATAAGTGTTTAGTTCCCTTAAATGTAACAGAATTTTAAAAATAATTCCTAAACGCATTTTTTTGTTTTACGACCGATGTTTTTGCTCTGTGAAATTTTTACTGTTCATACATAAAAACATTCATGAACTCGGCTGTACACCTACATGAAAGGAAATATGTTTTTGTACTAGTGCGTATAATTTAAACTTTTTTGCAAGTGTTCAACTATCATAGTCGAATACATCATATACGAACAATGTGAGTGTTGCAGTTTGCTTACAACTTGACAGTAAAACGCTTTAGCAAAGTCATTATTATAAATTAGTGCTTTTGAAACTAATAATATTAAGACTAACAAAGTGAATAAACGTTTTATCATAACGTTGGAGTCATCACAGTGACGCGAACAACAACAGAGATTTAATAGTTCAAACAAATTTAGTTTGACTGACAAGATTACGGCGAGTTTTGTTCAAGGTATACGAAGAATAAAATGCTAAACCCGCCAAAGTTTTGGAGTCTCCGTCAGGTGAATTCGTTTGTTACCGAGTTAAACTATGTGGGGCAAAGAGCCGTTTATAACGCGTACATACTTTAAGACACAATTAATAATATTTAGCACCAATAATGGCTTTGAATCTTTCAAAACATAACCTTATTATGACGTTCTGTATTTCTGCATAGGTCGATAGTATGAAACGTAATCAAAATTCTGTTCGTGTCTCAATCGTTATAAAATACCTTATTTAAAAGATTTATGGTACATTAAAGTACAAGCTTTTTATGATACTTCACAGTGCACTTTTCGAGCACAACGATTTTCCTTGTGGATAATGTATTTTGGGTACAATAGAACGTTTTTTATGTTTATCATTGGCGTTAAGGTCGTCGTTTATAGTCGTGAACA